TGTGATTTTGGCACTGTTTGCCATCTATCACCTGCCGTGCAACTAGCTGTGCCGTACAACGCGCCAACTTATATGTCCATACATGTTTCCTGGCAGCCTCACTGGGTGTCACACCCTAAAGGCCCCGGCCTGGCAGTGGCGGCTGCCGTTGTGAGCAGCGCCACCTAGTCAATGGTGCTGCCACCTACCAGCGACCGCCTTCTCCAGCAGCCGGGTGTTTGTGCTGTTGACGCGCACCAGTTGCGCCTTCTCGCCCGAGATGAACTGCTCGATGGTGCCAGCCGTCTGCTCGCCCTTGACTGGAGACGGACAGTAAATGTGACACGGGCGGCGGGGGGCGGGGCGGCTGAGCGGGTGGCGAATGTACGGCACGCTGCCCTGGTCAATGACGTCCGTTACAATTCAGGTTTATCAGGAGATGATGGGGCAAGATGGCATCCGTGCCACACAGGCCTTGAATTACTTATTAACGTAGAGAATTGGTGCATTAAGTCGCTAGCTTTCGAAAAAAATTGATCAGAAAGAAGCGAGTCAGTGAAAACCAGTATGGCAGCTAAACAACGGATGCAATGAGTACCGCGTATTTAATGTCGCCTTCGCCTCGCCCGCGGCTGGACCGACAAATATCGAGGGAGAGGGGGGGGGGGGGGACTCGCCGTACTGGTGTGTTTCTTGTAAGCCTCCTTGGCCTTGCGGGCGGCGTTCTCCGTCTCGATGTTGACCAGCCGTCGTTTGTTGGAGCCCACTGTGATCTCGTTATCCCGAGCTGGGGGCAGAAAGGTCTGTAACCGGTCTGGCTGATCACCGGCCGCCGTCGCTGCCGGAGAGGCGGCGCCGGCTGGCGGGCCACGGACGGGCAGTGAATGCTTCACGACATAACACGCCACAGCCGCTCTGTCGTTTGCTGCTACCGAATCGATAACGGTGGAAAGAACACCGCACTGCAGCACCGAGGCTGAGGGCAGGGGCGTGGAAACGCCACGAGAGTTAGGCGCGGGCTCGCCTTGTATGTCTGAGCGACGGTACCTGACACGTAGTTTTTCTCGCTCTCGTTGAGGGTGTTGCGCTCCCTGTTGGTCTTGCTGATTTTCTCGGTCTTGCGGGACAGCTTGGTCACCTCCTTCTGGCTGTTGGCGGCTGAGGACCGGAGGGCTGACCTTTGACGCTGTCTGTCATGCCTTCGCTTTTGACAAGGCAGCCGGTTTGACACCGAATGTGACACCAAACGCAACGAACAGCCGTTTGAGTGCTGCCACTCACGCATAAAGCGATACCCATTACCAGTAGTGTCATTCACACTGACAATTGTCATGCCCCTTCATCAACATGCATTATATATATATATATATATATATATATATATATATATATATATATATATGATCGTAGACGCTTGTGAACTAAAGCGTTCGCTTTCCTTCGAGATCTTAGCCTGCTGGAGGATGGGGGAGCACCAACATGAAATCACACCAACCCGCAAGCTGACGCCGCACCGCGCATTTGACGACCGACGGCCGCCGCTGTCCGTGCAGTAACCCAGTTCTCCCCAGTTTACGTAGTTGCCGCCCCTCTCACTGCGGCTGTCCCGTGCCACCCGTCGTCTGTTGCCACCTCCGTGTTGTGCTACGGTCCGAGGAGCGCCGGCACAGGGTACCGCACTCCCGCTCATCGACGCACTCCAGACTGCCTCGCTGGATGAACGCTCCCCGCATTCACGGTGGCCCGAGCCATCCCTTCGAGCTCGACCACTGGCTGTCGTGTCCACCACATTCCGTCGGGTCAGCTGATGTCGCTCGGCTGTGTGACCGCCCTGTCGACCTCAGAGGCGCCCCCACGCCGCCCCGCCGGTGCCGGCCCACGCACCTGTGGCGTTGCGTGTGAGCTCCCGGCTGCCGCGCGTGCTGTTGGCGCGGTTTTCGGTGATGGTCCGCCGGCGCTGCTGGACCACACCGCGGCGCCCGGCGCCCGCCGTGCGGTGCACGCTCCGTGACTCGGTCTCCTCGCGGCTCCCCTTGGAGGTGCGCCGCAGCTGCTGACGCCGCGCCTCCGACAGGCTCACTAGCCGGGGTGGAGGACAGCTTACTCAGTACCAACAGGCTGACTGGCCGGTACGGAGGACAGCTCTCTCAATACCGACAGGCTCACTGGCCGGTACAGAGGACAGCTCACTCAGTACCAACAGGCTCACTGGCCGGTACGGAGGACAGCTCACTCAGTACCAACAGGCTCACTGGCCGGTACAGAGGACAGCTCACTCAGTACCAACAGGCTGACTGGCCGGTACGGAGGACAGCTCTCTCAATACCGACAGGCTCACTGGCCGGTACAGAGGACAGCTCACTCAGTACCGACAGGCTGTCTGGCCGGGGTGGAGGACAGCTCACTCAGTACCGACAGGCTCACTGGCCGGTACAGAGAACAGCTCACTCCGTACCAACAGGCTCACTGGCCGGGGTGGAGGACAGCTCACTCAGTACCAACAGGCTCACTGGCCGGTACAGAGGACAGCTCACTCAGTACCGACAGGCTGTCTGGCCGGGGTGGAGGACAGCTCACTCCGTACCAACAGGCTCACTGGCCGGGGTGGAGGACAGCTCACTCAGTACCAACAGGCTCACTGGCCGGTACAGAGGACAGCTCACTCCGTACCAACAGGCTCACTGGCCGGGGTGGAGGACAGCTCACTCAGTACCAACAGGCTCACTGGCCGGTACAGAGGACAGCTCACTCAGTACCGACAGGCTGTCTGGCCGGGGTGGAGGACAGCTCACTCCGTACCAACAGGCTCGCTGGCCGGTGCAGAGGACAGCTCACTCAGTACCGACAGGCTCACTGGCCGGTATAGAGGACAGTTCACTCAATGCCGACAGGATCACTGGCCGGTACGGAGGGCGGACAGCTCGCTCGCGAAGTTCTACACAGACTCCACATCGCCATAGCCTTCGTGCGATTCAACAGACGGAGTCCCAGTGCCTAGATCAGTGTCAAAATGCCGCTGAAGCGACATCAACACTGTTTATGTTTTTGCGTCCTGTCGGACCAAACGAGACTCAGCGAGCGGCCGACTTGCTTCACATCCACACCGGGCTGTGTCGGTCCTGCATCAGACTGATTCCAGTGGCCTCCGGACCCACGCAGGACCCATCAGACCACCCGCGACCCACCTCGAATCCACGTGGGCTTGGCCTTCACTTTATTCTCCTTCCGGTGGGTGTTGTTTCGCTTCGTGATCCACCTGAAGACGGGCGCCTTGTATCCTGCGGAGTGACGTCAGCGTATGTTAGAGACGCGGACGATGGTTATACAAGCTGTACGGATCGGCTCATACTATGGCTTATTTTGAGCCAACCCTGTTGCCTGTTCACACTCAGTGCAAGGCTTCTTACACCAAACTCACACTGCCGGCAGGCTCACTCAAGACCACGAGCTTCTCCGATCTGACAGATGCAGCGAGGCGGTTTGCGCTGACGTTGTCCGGCTGCGGTTAGGGATCATGTTCTGCCGGGTCAGCAGAGCGTCCAGACCAGAGAGCTCCATCACCCATCTATCGGCGCGGTACTCCCCTGGGCGGGAGGGCGTCGCTGGCCTCAGATTCAGCGCTCTTCTGAACGATATGACCCCTAATCGGTAGGCTCGCTCCTCTGGATGAAAGGACACCTCTGACTTTGACACACATTTTTTTCTGGATGAGAAGGCACCATTAAACGTTTAGATGTGATTGTCCTCCGGATGAGAGGGCATCAGTGACCTCGAGACACGTAGCTCCGCTGGAGCAGAACGCACCACTGACCTTTGGACACGGTACTCCTCTGGACAAGGAAGAAGCCGCGGGCCGGTCCGAACTTGGAGGTGACGCTCCACTGCAGCTTCTGACTGTAGTGCCCCGTCTTGCTGAAACCGCACTCGCAGCCGTCCCTGACACCGGCCCGGCCACCCGGTCAGACGACCCAGGGTCACTGGCGCACCGCGCGGGACGGGGAGTTGCGGTACTGGCGTCACATGGCGCGGCCGCGCGGCCCTACCCCTCAGAGGTGGCCTGGCGGGTCTTGACAGTGACGCGTAGTGTGGCGACATCGGTCGTAGAAATAGTCATGAAATGCAGCGAGTTGCAGAGGGCCATGATTTGAAAATCGCATATGATTTGTGCTGGGTTATTTCCGAACTTGCTCGGGTCGGAATTAGTGACGCCCGAGAACAGGACGTATGATGACCTTGGTCAGTGACGAAAACGGCTCCTCCACGCTATCTAGGCAGGTCAGATGTTGGCTCCATAGGCGGTGATGTTGCGATAGGCCGGACACCTGCGAGCGGCGTGTGGTGTTTGTCCTGTTTGTGGGCTCCCAGACTGTCTGGCAGGGTTGGCAGCCTGTTGGTTTTTTTTGTCATGTCGGTCTGTTTGTCCTTGTCGTTCTTGCCGTGTCATTGTAGTACGCCGGTCTTGTGTACGTGCCCTTCGCGTATGGGATGTTTGCTTTAACGGTTGACGTTCAGTGTGCTTATTTGGTATTGTGGTATTGCTTTTTCGGACTGAGATCTGCCTAACTATTGTGCACTATTTTGTGATTGAAATTCGTTTACTGGCATCGTACCACATTTGTCAACACAGGTACCTAACCGATTCGAGTGATGAAATGATGTTGGTTCCATAGAATGCTGATTGTCGTGACGCCATCACACGCTAACCAGCATCAGCCTGAAACTGCTCGCACTCGGATCATGACCTGTCTGACGTCACCCAGGAGCCGAACACCACCTGTCTGACGTCATTCACCCGCCGTTCACCATCCGTCTGACCCGCTCACACGTCGACCAACACAAGTCTGACGTCACTCACATGATAAACACCGCCGGTTTGGATTCATTCACACACGCGCACGCATTTGCTCATCGACGAGCGCCAGTCTTACTTCACCCAGCACCAGTGTGACGTTACCCAGCATGAGTCTGACGTCACTCACACGCCGACCAGCACGAGCTTGACGCCGGCGCGGTCCTCGCAGGCGGTGACGCAGTCGTCGAGCACGGTGCGGCCGGGCGCCACCTCCCAGCGCACGTCGCCCGGCTTCTGCGCCACCCAGAACGCCCGGTAGCCGGCTGGCGACACGTCGGGTCAGAGGTCACGGCGGGGGCGGCGGGCGACGACGCTTCGGCGAGCGGCGCGCTCCAGGTGAGGGGGAGGCTGGCTCACCACGTGTGCACGCGCTGCCGCTATGGGGGTTAGACTAAAGGCGCCAACATGGGTGGCTGGGTTACCACGTGTGCACGTGCTGCCGCTATAGCGGGTTGGACTGGGGCCACCACCAAATTGAGATCAGGACAATGCGGGGCGGATACTAACGTCGGAGACCGTGAATGTCACTTTTAGCAGGTTAACTTGCGACAGCTCCACAGTTTGAAGTGCACTGCAACTCTGTACTGTAGGATAGAGCGCAAACGAGATTTGCGCTGTGCTAATGCCGCTGTAAAAATAGCGTCTGGTGTCTCGCCAACTTTGAGCGCTACTGTCATTTGGCACACAATACGGTAGCACTATGCTGCCATGAATCTCGGTGATGTTGAACCTGCCCGTGCAACGACCGGGCTCACCCTTGGTAGTGTAGTTGTGGTAGTTGTTGGACCAGACGCTGGTGAACAGCACCGAGTACGGCTGGACGGTCGCGGCCCGCGGGTTCTGGCAGTGCGGCATGGCGAGGTGGCGCAGCCCGACGCCGGTGTTGCCGCAGCGGCAGCCGCCCCTGCCGACGCGGCGCGCGCCGCTCAGCCACGCCCGGTCTGACACCCGACTCAGTGACCTGCCCGCCCGCCCACTGTCGTCCTGCGACACACGATACGGTCATACAGCCGCCCTCTGTCGTCTCACACCTCAAGTGGAGTGGCACTGCTATGCATCTTTAGCGTTGTTTGTGTGCACCGCGTGTCAAATGTCCTCGTTTGACCACACATCCACGTCCGCAACCATGTGTACGACAGCCTCACATCTGTTAATTGGCTCGTTCTTTCAGAAGCGGGCGCCTGGGCCGCCGCCGGCGCCAGGCCAGGCGACCTGAGTCACCGTCAGCCCGGCGGGCCTCAACCCGACCCTGACGAGGCCCGCAGTGGGCACGCACTTCCCGAAAGCGGTGAAGGTGGCGTTGGCGGCGCGGCAGGACGCGAGGCACGACTGGAGCAGCGTGTCGGCCGTGCGGCGCCAGAGGGTCGGCTCGGTGGCGCACGTCCAGCCCTCGGGCACTGCGGGCGGAGCGGCCGCGTCAAGCGTAGCCGGCGTCGGCCGCCGCGCGCCCCACACGGGCGGCCGCTCAGTATGTGGCGCAGGGGCGGTGGGCGTGAGGTGGGAGGGCTGCCATACATTGCCACGTACATACATGCAGTGTTGTGGACTGGAGATGTGAACGTTTGTTGACGGATGGAATTGAAGGTGAATAAACAGAAACTGTGATTAAAGGCGTGTGGGTGAAGCAGAACCCGGGCCTCAGTTTGTGCCGTGAAGCTTAGCGACGCGCGAATATCCCTCCGATGTCCAAGATCTTCCCACTATTCACCCATTTAGTGGTACACTGCGCTTAAGCTTCATGACAGCGAGGAATGATCACAAAGGATGACCTCTAAGTACCCAGAGTCCTTAGAGACCTCAGAAGCACGAGCGCAGATTCCCGGTTCAGTCGAGAACTGCGACCTTTCACCCCTCACCGTTAACGTAGCCCTCCTTGTCAAGCATGAGGAAGCCCTGGGTGGAGCCCATCTCCTTCTTGGGCTGCGTCTTGACCCACTCCTGCACCTGCAGCTCGGTGCGGTCCTTGCGCAGACTGCCGCAGGAGCAGCCGTCCCTGCGGCGCCACACACTCACGTTTGGCTTCCAAACCTGGTCCTGGCCAAACCCGGCCTGACCAGACCCTTCCCTGTCACCAGAGCGGTTCATCCCCGCCCGCGATACGTCAGACAGTGCGCGCTGTCATCGTCCGAAGCGTGGAAGCGATCTCGATACGGTGAGTGCGGGTAAACCTGGCGCAGTGTTCGCCGAACCGGCCCGTTCCGAGGTTCCCGACATCCGGGGGCGGCCGGCCCCATTTCTCCGCGCTGCGGCGGGTGCTGCGACCGCGGTTGGGCACACGTGGACGGCCCTCCATCGGACCGCGGCGTTACTCACGCGCCAACGCAGATGAAGCGCTTGTTGCACTGCAGGACGCACTGCTCTAGCGAGCTGACGTCGGCCAGAGTGGTCCAGAAGACGGCCGGACTCTTCTCGGAGACCCACCAGAAGATATATTCTGCGCGGGGGCGGGGAGGGGCGGGCGTCAGCGGCGCAGGACAGCAAGCGTCCCGGGACGGATCAGGCTCGGAGGCCCGTGACGCAAGGCAAAGCCTGGAACACGTGACTGCTTTGTCCGGCGCCCCTACGACTGGGGAGACGTTCGGTCCAGAGCAGAGGTCGAGTTCAGTTCACTCGAAATTTGGGTGAAATAATTTACGTGATCTACGTCTGAATGGCGGCGTGAAAACACGATGGGATGCTTGGGCTGTGCAAGCGCCAGCGGCGAACGTGCGCAGTTCATGTAGGCTACTCCATGCCGACCACGGACCGCACGGTGACCTAAACAGTCCGCCCCTGCACTGCGTCCGCGTCAGCGCCAGCTTGCGTTGGCTCCATTACCTCGCACGTTCTCCTCGACGTGCGTGATCTGCCGCTCGATCTCGTTGATACTGATGACCGAGTACGAGCGCCGCTTGCGCAGCTGCATCTCACACTGCGACATCGAGAACCGCTCCAGGTTGGCCGTGTTGTTGCCGCAGAAGAAGCCGTCCCTGCGCGTGACGGCGCCGTCAGCAGCGCGGTGACGCGCGTCACGCTCCCAGCGTCACGCCGCTAGCCGGTCGCCGTTCTCACGTGGTGTGCTCACGAACGGCTCGCGTTATGTTCTCAAGCAGATTGCATTCTCTTCGACTCGAGCGCTCCTTGCAATGGGGAACATTTCGTGCGAACATGTGGAAATAAGGAACATTTCGTTGCAAGGGCCTGGGCCCAATGGAAAATTATCTTTGAGTAGCACATAGAAAGATGGCAGTTTTGTTCCGTTCAGTATGGTAACGCAGCTCTCGCGAATCATTCGCTCTTCACATCAGGATGTTTCCGCCAAGTTTTGCATTTAACATACGCCCCATAAGAGATTCATACCAGACAGCGGCACTTAACGCCCTGGTATTTTTGCGCGATGGGAGTAACGCAGGCCGTAGCGGTACGGTGACGTCAGATAAATAAAGACACATTAGGATACCACTATTGCCGGAGGACTTCATCTGTTAAGGCTAAAAACTGTGTTTGGAAAGAGGCCAGCTTTAGTTAAGAGCCAGTTTCCGCGTGCTCTCGGAAAAAACTAGGAACCTACTTCAATGAGTCTGGGACCTCTCACTTTTCCACATTCTTTTGTACTCAATTTAAACTACGCAGACCCTCGTGTGCCCTGACAGTACTGCAAGGAGTCTCCTCGTTCGCCGGGGTGAGAGTACACCGGCTTCGCGTCGGTATGTACATACCTCTCCTGTGTCACACAGCAACACATGTCCCCTCTCTACGCCGCCGTTCCAAGCCCTCCCCCCGTCGACTCACTCGCCGGCGGCCAGAAACTGAAAGCTGCGCCGTTTACACGCCTCCAGCGCCTCCTGCATGGTCTGCGCGCCGGTGAACTTGATGAAGTCGGAGGGCGTCGCCGTGCACAGCCAGCCGGTGACGTTTCCGGCGCGCAGCTGCACCGTGAAGCCGGGGTCGACGGCGTGCAGCTGCGCCGCCGTCCAGCGCAGCTGCTCGTGTCGGATCTGCACCTTGCCGCCGGCGGCGCGGCCGCAGCGGCAGCCGCGACTGCCGGTGGGAGCGACGGTCAGTGGCGCGGGCGGTGCCAGCGTAAGGCGGAGGCATGAGGGACGAAGGACCGAGGTCGGATGCGGGCGTCAGGCGGAGGCATGAGGGACGAGGGACCGGGGTCGGATGCGGGCGTAAGGTGGAGGCTTGAGAGACGAGGGACCGAGGTCGGATGCGGGCGTAAGGTGGAGGCTTGAGAGACGAGGCACCGAGGTCGGATGCGGGCGTAAGGTGGAGGCATGAGGGACGAGGGACCGAGGTCGGATGCGGGCGTCAGGCGGAAGCATGAGGGACGAGGGACCGAAGTCGGATGCGGGCGTCAGGCGGAGGCATGAGGGACGAAGGACCGAAGTCGGATGCGGGCGTCAGGCGGAGGCATGAGGGACGAGGGACCGAAGTCGGATGCGGGCGTCAGGCGGAGGCATGAGGGACGAGGGACCGAAGTCGGATGCGGGCGTCAGGCGGAGGCATGAGGGACGAGGGACCGAGGTCGGATGCGGGCGTCAGGCGGAGGCTTGAGAGACGAGGCACCGAGGTCGGATGCGGGCGTCAGGCGGGAGACTGGGCTGGTCACCCTCAACACTCGGGGCGCGGCCCGGTTCGCTCGTCAGCGGTGTCTGGCTGGCAGCGGCGACTTGTGCGAGAGAATAACTGTTTTCGTTTCGAATCCGAGTCTGAAGCTACAGGGGTCTCGTGTGCTGCAACCTCGACGCCCTGATGAGTATTCGCCTCCGCGCTGGGAGGGCTGGCCGGGGCTCTCCGACCGTGGGAGGCCGCTGGCTGCAGCACACTCACTGGTCGACCCGGGCGAAGTCCTGGCCGTATGTGAAGCAGAGGTGAGAACAGGCGGCCAGGCCCGCTGGCTTGTCTGGCACGTTGGAGACGGTGTCCCACTGCACGCCTGAGGCGGCCTTCCCCGATACCCAGAACCGGCTGCCTGAAAACCGGCGGACGCGACTAGCTCGTGCGGCGGAGTCGAGAATGGACCACGCTTAACGACACCGTTGTATGGGCTGGCATTCACTGCACTTTTTATCAGTTGTCTTGAATTCGCTAGCATCGCCTGTTGCGGCATTGGTTCAGGGGCCCGTCGTGTTGAGGTATGCCACCATACTTTTGTTTAGTACACCTGCACTACGTTTTAGTACCGGGAACTCCTTCCACATATCCGAAATTTCGCTCAGACTGACCGGTAGGGGGCTGTCTAACCATTCTGAAGCTGGGCCAGATCGTGCTGGAAGAAGCGCACGTCGATGACGTGTCTGCTGGCGTTGGAGCACGGCGTGCTGAGCAGGCGGCGCGCGGCACGTCCCACGCGGCAGCCGGCCGGGCCCACGCTCAGCTGTCGGGCCTTGAGGCGCAGCGCCTCGGCCCAGCAGCGCTCCACCGTGTCGTACTTCCGGCTGAGCGGTGTCAGGCCGGCCGCACTCTTCGTGCAGAACCAGTCTGGGAACGAGCCACCGGTCAGGGGGTCAGAGAGGGGGGGGGGTCAGGTCGGGTCGGCTCGTGGAGAGGCAGTGAGGAGACAGGATGGGATGGGCGGTCAGAGCGGGGGAGGGGGCTTAGTTCAGGCCGGTTCGCACACGATCAGTCTGGGGACGCATCGCCGGTCAAGGTGGGGAGAGGTCAGAGGGGCTCAAGTTGGAACAGCACAGACAGAAACATGTTGTAGAAGGCGACAGGGTCTTCGGAGGTCAGCTATGGACCGTCGGGCCGGCAGGGGCAGCGTGAGACGCAGACTAGTCGGGCCGCTTATTTTGGGGAGCATTTCAGGCGAGGCCAAAACCAGACTCACGCCTGAGCTATTGCACTGAAGGCTGGAAGAAATTACCAATACATATGTCAATGTAGGGTGCCGATAGTGCGGTGGTCATCGCGTTTGGGTTACCTTCTCTGCGTTTGGGAAACCGGAGGTACGGGGTTCGAATCTTCGTGGTGTCCGCCCTGCCCGCCAGGGTTGGAGGCAGATGACGCCATTTCGCCTCGGCAGCTGGGTGCGTTGTAAAGTCCCAACGACGACGACGACGGCGTGTCAATGCGGAAGGTGTGTAGGGGGGGGGGGGGGGGGGCACATGCAGCAGCTTGAAGACCGGGAGGGGCGAACACCCGAGAGCGGTGAGAAGCTCGGGTATAAACCATGGGCATAGGTCATTGTATCGAGCGGGAGGAGTGGGAAGTCCTAGATTATGAGGCAAACTGGAGAAAGGGGCGATTAAGGACTGTACCTTCGTTTCTAGAACGACCAGTCACGAACCTGTTTATACCAAATCGGGCTATCGACAGCTGGCGTATATCCAATCTGAGAATGCTAGGACCAGAACAAGAAAGCAAGCAGTGTCTGGATGCAATGTGTGGCGCGGAGCGCGTGAGTGGGCTTCGGGTCGAGTCAATTAGTACACGTGTACGCCATCTTGTTTTGATGTCGCGATGTGTAGTATGTGGCGTTTTTTGCGATGCAAAAATGGGGAATACCGTGGAAATTTTGGACCGGTTTGCGCGTTAACTGGTGCATGTGCCATGGTAAAATTCAGAAAAAGTTACATAGAAATTGTATCGAACGTTACATGCATTG